ACCAAAGAAGTAATGTTGTGTCCTCATTAAGAGGTCCAAAATACGTACATATTTGTCCTATTACTAGTGATACTAACTTTGATCACTTAGTTAAGATGGTATCTACCAGGTAACTAACTATAAAGTTACTATTTTTCCTTGCATAATTAGTATCTTATGGGAAGACAGCTCAAGACCATGTAAATATCCTGTTTCTTGAACATATTCCCATAAAATACTATCTTCTTCTGTTTTTTAATGTTTATTTATTTATTTTGAGAGACAGAGCGTGCGCACACAAGCATGAGCAGGGGAAGGGCAGAGACAGAATCTCAAACAGGCTCTGCACTCTCAGTGTGCAGAGCCCAATGTGGAGCTGGAACTCACAAACCACGAGATCATGACCTGAGCTGAAGTTGGACGCTTAACCAACTGAGTCACTGAGGCGCCCCCAAGTATTATCTTTTAAAATGTAGGAAACTGAGGGTCGATGGGGGGTAGGAGGGAGGGAAGGGTGGGTGAAGGGTATTGAGGAGGGCACCTTTTGGGATGAGCACTGGGTGTTGTATGGAAACCAATTTGACAATAAATTTCAAAAAAAAATTTTTTTTAATTTTTAAAAAATGTAGGAAAAAGTTCCTGCCAATATGTAATAATGTCAGGTGTTTTGTAATTTTCCTCGAGTAAATTTACTGTGTTGAAATTATTAGTTATGATTTCATTATAACTTACCAGCCTCAATCTTTTAAAATTAACATGTTTGTAGCACTGCCCATGGAGGTTAAATGCTACTTCTATCGTAAGAATTTAACTTCTATCATAAACATCACAGGTGCTAACCTGTGAATTAAGGTGCTAACCTGACGAATTAAGACATCACAGGTGCTAACCATATTAACTGTGCTCTGAAATTTATGGCTAATAACCCTAAAACATATTTGGATCATTTTATTTCAAAATGTTTCTTCCTATTTCAAAAAAGAGGAAGTTAGAAGTAACTGGCTCTCCGTAAGTTTTAAAACACCAAGTAGGAGACTCAGACATTGCACCATAAAACCCAGACACATGAGAGAAAGTATATAAAATGGCCAAAGCATAGTCATTTGGCTTTGCCTTCCTCTTTTTTAAGAGGTGAATGCTGCACATTCAACCTAGCATGAACATTTGCTCATTGAAACATCTCTTCTCTCTTAAGAGCTCAAGTTAAGCTCCTAGTCTTCTAATGAGGCTGAGCCCATGAATGATTTAATTTTCACATGATTTCATTTTATGCTGCAGCAGCTTTCTGTACCAGGTAAGAACAGGGCTTATCACCTCCATCCATTGGCAGAGGAAGAATCAGATTAAGAAACTTACCCAAGGTCACCCACGAAGTCAGAGACAGAGACATGTCAAGGCAATTCACAGGAGCAGTCCTCACCCAAATGAAACCAAAGTTTTACTGCCTATTCAAAAAATACTTGGCTTCTGAAATTTGGGGTAGTGAGTGTTAAGCGCAACAGTAAAGCAAGGAAATTAGTTTCCTTTGAAGCAAAAGCTTAATTAAGAATGAAAAGGGACACATGGTTCTGTGATTTAGAAGGCAGCAACATGTGAAAAAGAAAGACTATGAACCATGAGCGCTCAGGCATTCTCCATCCGACTTTAAATTTTCCTCACTTTAAATCAAAGAGGAGCACTAGCTGATTCTAAGGGCACTTCCAGGTTTTGTTTTGTAAAGGCATGGATCCTAAAGTTAAGGAGCTGTGCTGTGTTTAACGTATGACTTTCAATATCATCTTTTGCAGGGCCTCTCCAATCTGAGTCTATTATGGACTTTGTCGTGGGCCACAGCCAGGTACTTCCCAGGATCCCTCCCAATTTAGCTACGCTGTCTTCCTCTAAGGTAGTTGAAAAGCATGGGCAATTCTTTTCTAGTCCCCTGAAATGGAGATGTATATTCAAAGTGTTCTTCTCTTCTTTCCCCTGGGTGCTATTAACTCATATAGAACAAACTGACCAACTCCAAATGTCATGTAACAGGCCTGAATCTATATACACAAAATACACGTAGGAACTCCCTCTCAGGTGACTGGAGAGAATCTCCCCCTTGATTACCACGTAATACACACTCCAGAAACTAGCTGCTGGTCTGAGCTCATGATAAATTCCTGCCTTTTACACTGCTTGACTAACAACTGACTCAAGTCTGAGTTACCAGGAACCTAAAAATTTTATGACTACACATTCGAAAATTCCTTATAGAAAAATGGTTCCCAACCTCTTAAATGAAGGTGTGGCAAAATTTCAAATGTTGAATTTTCCTAGATTTAAATTTAAAAAAATTTTTTTTAACATTTATTTATTTTTGAGACAGAGAGAGACAGAGCATGAACGGGGGAGGGGCAGAGAGAGAGGGAGACACAGAATCGGAAGCAGGCTCCAGGCTCTGAGCTGTCAGCACAGAGCTCGGTGTGGGGCTCGAACTCACGGACTGCAAGATCGTGACCTGAGCTGAAGTCGGACGCTCAACCGACTGAGCCACCCAGGCGCCCCTTTTTTTTTTTAATTTTTTTTTTAACGTTTATTTATTTTTGTAAATTTTAAAAATGAATACTGGGACTTGTATTAGGTTGCTAGGGTCTGTGGAATTACCACAGACCTGGTGGTACCATAGGACCACAGACAGAAATCTGTTGTCTCACAGCTCTGGAGGCTGGAAATCTGAAATCAAGGTGTTGGCAGGCTTATTCCTCCTGAGGTCTGTGAGGGACGGATCTGTACAGGCCTGTATCCTTGGCTTACAGATGACTGTCTTCATGTTCATGTGCTGTTCTCTCCTGTACGTGTCTGTGTCCAAATTCTCTCTTTTCGTAAGGACACTGATCATAGTGAATTAGGGGCCTACTCTACTCCAGTGTAACTTCATCTTAACTAATTACATCTGTAACATCCCTGTTCCCAAATAAGGTCACATTCTGAGATATCAGGAGTTAGCATTTCAACACATGAATTTGGGGAGATGGGGTACAGAGAGCAATTCAACACCTAATAGGACCCAATTTAATTTAGCTTTAAGTCTTATCACAGGACAGCTGGCTCCCTCTACCCTAAACAGCTTCTCTAGCTTACGGCAACTAAGATTATATATTCTTATATATATTCTAAATTGAGATTAGACATTATTCTTCAAGCTTATGTGCTGAAGACCACCAAACCTTATGCACCTCAGTTTTTCCCACATCACTTCAACCAGACCCTTTCCCAAGATTTATTTAAAGAAGAACCTCAGGGGCACCTGGGTGGCTCAGTCGGTTGAGCCTCCGACTTCGGCTCAGGTCATGATCTCACAGTTTGTGGGTTCCAGCCCCGCATCAGGCTCTGTGCTGACTGCTTGCTC